GATTTCATCTGAAATCCGCAGTGATCTGATCATTTGACAAAAGTTTGCTCACATTACTGAATTAATCATTAAAGTTTTATTAAATGGAATGTAGTATGACAGCAATTTAGAATAGTCATAATGTTATTAAAATATGTATAAATTGCTTAACTGATTCCATTGTTCTCATTTGTAAGTCAATTTGGATAAAATCGTCTGTTAAATGATTAAATTAGGGCTGTGCAAAGATTAATTGCGATTAATCGCATCCAAAATAAAAGTTTGTGTTTACACAATATATTTGTGTGTGTTGTATATAATTATTTTCGTATATATAAATACACACACACAAGCATGTATATATTTAAGAAAATGTGTTGTTATGCATATATAAAACATGTATATATATATATATATATATATACACTCACCGGCCACTTTATTAGGTACACCTGTCCAACTGCTCGTTAACACTTAATTTCTAAGCAGCCAATCACATGGCGGCAACTCAGTGCATTTAGGCATGTAGACATGGTCAAGACAATCTCCTGCAGTTCAAACCGAGCATCAGTATGGGGAAGAAAGGTGATTTGAGTGACTTTGAACGTGGCATGATTGTTGGTGCCAGAAGGGCTGGTCTGAGTATTTCAGAAACTGCTAATCTACTGGGATTTTCACGCACAACCATCTCTAGGGTTTACAGAGAATGGTCCGAAAAAGAAAAAACATCCAGTGAGCGGCAGTTCTGTGGGCGGAAATGCCTTGTTGATGCCAGAGGTCAGAGGAGAATGGCCAGACTGGTTCGAGCTGATAGAAGGGCAACAGTGACTCAAATAACCACCCGTTACAACCAAGGTGGGCAGAAGAGCATCTCTGAACGCACAGTACGTCGAACTTTGAGGCAGATGGGCTACAGCAGCAGAAGACCACACCGGGTGCCACTCCTTTCAGCTAAGAACAGGAAACTGAGGCTACAATTTGCACAAGCTCATCGAAATTGGACAATAGAAGATTGGAAAAACGTTGCCTGGTCTGATGAGTCTCGATTTCTGCTGCGACATTCAGAATTTGACGTCTACAACATGAAAGCATGGATCCATCCTGCCTTGTATCAACGGTTCAGGCTGGTGGTGGTGGTGTCATGGTGTGGGGAATATTTTCTTGGCACTCTTTGGGCCTCTTGGTACCAATTGAGCATCGTTGCAACGCCACAGCCTACCTGAGTATTGTTGCTGACCATGTCCATCCCTTTATGACCACAATGTACCCAACTTCTGATGGCTACTTTCAGCAGGATAATGCGCCATGTCATAAAGCTGGAATCATCTCAGACTGGTTTCTTGAACATGACAATGAGTTCGCTGTACTCAAATGGCCTCCACAGTCACCAGATCTCAATCCAATAGAGCATCTTTGGGATGTGGTGGAACGGGAGATTCGCATCATGGATGTGCAGCCGACAAATCTGCGGCAACTGTGTGATGCCATCATGTCAATATGGACCAAACTCCCTGAGGAATGCTTCCAGCACCTTGTTGAATCTATGCCACGAAGAATTGAGGCAGTTCTGAAGGCAAAAGGGGGTCCAACCCGTTACTAGCATGGGGTACCTAATAAAGTGGCCGGTGAGTGTATATATATATATATGAAGAGTTCAGATGCAAAAGCCTCTAAGTGCCATTTGAAATTTTCTTTTTAGAATGATAATTTTTATCAAGCTTGTATATTTAAGTTCAGTGATTTCACTTAAATGGCAATGATAATTACCTATTAATTGTTATTTAAGTGAAATTACTGAACTTAAATATACAAGTTTGATAAAATCATCATTAAAGTAGAAAATGTCAAATGGCATTTAGAGGCTTTTGCATCTGAACTCTTCATATATAGTATTTACGTGCAAATAAACTCTTAAATATATACATGCATGCATATGTATTTACAATATAATTGTAGACAGCACACACACATATTATGTAAACCCAAACTTTTATTTTGGAGGCAATTAATCTTGATTAATCTTTGATGTCCTAGATTAACTGTTGAAAAATAGATTCAACATTTCAAGAATATGTCAGTGAATTTGATAAGAAAGCATTAACCACAATGAAATAAAGTATTGTATATGGCCGTTTTACATTAAAGTTTTGCTATTGGGTTCGTTTACCTGTGTAAACATCAGTAGTGAAATCGCTCAGACGAAGTTCTTGCACGTAATACAGCACAGTATATTATAATATCAAACACATGAGGCATTGAGGTGGTTTGGTGTATTTACACAACATTTATATTAGATTTAGCAAAGTGCCTTTCTGTTCTCTTTCTACTGTGCCAAACTCAAGCGGACATATGGATTTCAGCGGTGCAGTAAACTCATTTTTATCAGTAAATTCAAACCGGCACATGTAGACATGCCTGTAAACTCTGGCAGAAAATGGAGAATAATTGAGATCTTATGTGAAGGTAAAGCAGAGCCACACTCATCCGCGCCGGCCGTACGTACCACACAGATGGGGAAAGAAAGAAAATGGAAAGGTATAATAGATTCCCACATGTGCACGCTTAACGGACATATGCACGCGCACACACACATGAAAACAAGCACTCACATTTACATGCACACCTGGCCTATAGACAAGCTAAATCAGAACCAATGAGGGGCCGCTGCAGATAAGTTATTCCTGACATTTAGCATTTTCAGTTTATTCAGCTGCTCGAGAAAAAAAGAAAACCTGTTATCTATCAGTACGAAAGCAAAACCTCCAACACAGAAACAAATGTGTAACACAAGCTCGCTGGATTTCATCAACAGCTGCTTTCACTGTCCAATGCTATGGCTACAATACGATTTTTAATATCATTAAAAAATATTTAATAAATGTATATAAGTATACAATAATATGCAATATAATTTATATTATAATTAAATAATATAATTATGTATTAAAACATATCAAAACATGAAATAAGTAGATCCAATATTATTTTGAATATAATTAACAAACTGAGGTAATGTGATGCATTCCAATGCTAAATAAGTTTGTGGAGATAATTTTAATGGTATTTGCAAGCACAAAACTCAACGGCTCTATCTTAAGACATATTAGAAAAATCTTGAGGTCAAAAAAGGTCCATTGTCTATTGTGAATAGTGTAAGCACAAAAGTCAATTTCAAAATAAGCTGTATGTTGGTAAATGCAACAAAACTAGGATGAACCTTAATGTGAAATTTCAGTTACACTTTATTTTAAGCTGTCCGTGTTAAAATGTAATTATACATTTAAAGGAGTAGTTCACTTAAAAAAAAAAGAAAAAAAAACTTTTGCTGATAATTTACTCACCCCCATGTCATCCAAGATATCCACATCTTTCTTTCTTCAGTCGAAAAGAAATTAAGGTTTTTGATGAAAACATTCCAGGATTTTCTCCATATAATGGACTTCAATGGGGTCCAAACGGTTCAAGGTCGAAAAGACAGTTTCAGTGCAAACTGCAAACTGTTCAAAGGGCTTTAAACACATTCGTTGATTGCAGACGATGAATAAGGGTCTTATAAAGCAAAACGATCACTCATTTAAAAAAAAAATTACAAAGTTTAAGTTTTATTAGCTCAAATGGTCGCCTTACTCTGTTTGTGATGCGAGTTTGTGACTCTCCTGTTCGAACTCGTTCATCAAAATGAATCTTTTTTCGTGTCATTTGGTTCATTCAACAAACTAAATGAACGAATTTACTCGGGAAAAGATTTGTTCACTTTGATGAACAAGTTCGAACAGGAGAGTCACACAGAACCGAGCATTTGAGCTTATAAAACTTAAAACTTTGTTTTTTTGTTTTTTTTTTAAATGTGTGATCGTTTCACTTGACCCTTATTCATCGTCTGGAATCATTTAAAGCCCTTTGAACAGTGAAACTGTCTTTTGGACCTTGAACCGTTTCCTGCCAGTAAAATCCATTATATGGAAAAAATCCTGGAATGTTTATCAAAAACCTTAATTTCTTTTCGACTGAAGAAAGATAGACATGGATATCTTGGATGACATGGTGGTGAGTAAATTATCAGCAAAAGTTTTTTTTTTTTTTTTTTTTTTAAGTGAACTACTCCCTTCAGCACTAAGTAATAATAAACTACATGTTCTTACTATAGGGTTAGGTTCAGGATTGGAGTTGGTTTAGGGTTAATTGCATGTAATTATGCATAAGTTGCAGTTAGTAACTACATAACCTGTAACAAGGACACTGTAAAATAAAGTGTTCCCTGCTCGTGTAGACTCCTATTGAAATGGCTGGATTTTGCCATTGAAAATTCACTAATCAAAATGTGACCCAGTGTTATGGGTGGTCGTAAATAAATTGAAATGCAGTTACTAGACGGTAACTTACAGATCCAATCCTATGAGCCCGCCCTCAATACCGCTCCATACGGTTCGGGTCACTCCATGTTTGTAGCACAAATACAATCTGTTACGTTATAAATGTCTTTACTGTAACTATTTATCCTTGATGAATTAAAGTATTGATTTAGTTTATTTATTTCCCCCAAAAATAATATAAAACTTCTTATTGGCCCCAAACTTTTAAATGCTATTTTTTATGTTACAAAAGCTTTCTATTTCATGATTAAAGCTGTTCTTTTGAACTGTATATTTATTAAAGAAGCCTAAAATAAAAATGTTTTCAACATTGATAATAATGAGAAATGTTTCTTGAACATCAAATCATCATGTTAGAATGATTGCTGAAGGATCATGTGACACCGAAGAGTAATGATGCTGAAAATTCTGCTTTGTCCCCAGCTCGGACTCTGTATATTCACATAGAGACCAGCTGTTTAAAATTCGAATAATATTTTACAATATTACTGTTTTTTTTTTTTTTTTTTTTTTTATCAAATAAATGCAGTCTTGGTGAGCAAAAGAGACTTCTTTCTAAAAACATCACAAATATATACCGATCCAAAACTTTTGACTGGTAGAGTATATACATATATATATAAAGATGGATCTGTTCTGCAACGTTACCTGTAGTGACGAAAGATCTCCTCCTCCACTTCAGTGAAGAAATGGCACTTAGTGCAGGCGTATTCTCCGGGATGATCCCGCCCTGGTCCCGCTGGATCCCCCGATCCCTCCTCCTCTGGCTTGACTTCTAGTAAGGTGTGAGAGGTGTGTGCGCTGTCATAGTGCAAGAGAAGCAAGTCGATATCAGTGGAGGTGAAAGGGCACTGGTCACACAGGTGTGTGACGGACCCCCTGGGAGCTGGCGGGGACGGGGACGGGGTCGTTCCTCCAGATGTCAGTTGCAGAAGAAGAAGAGCACAGTGTGAGCAGGAGCTCTTTCGGCAAGCGAAGGGGTACGAGATCTCGCCCAGGTGCTTCTCGGGGGTGCAGAGCCCACGCGGGCAGAACGGGCAATGTTTAATGGTGCACTTGTGAATGCTGTGAACCCGCTGGTAGTGATGCAAAAGCGGAGCGACGACGATGACCTCCGGTCCGTGTGTCATTGAGTAACGGAAGTCGCAGAACTGGCAATTGTAACTGGTTACTACAGTTTCCGGTTCGCCCGTCGCTCCAGTCTTCTCTTTTTTCCGTAAATGTGAGTTTCCGTCACGTGTCTTTCTGTCTCTCTCCACCGGACTTCCCTCCCTGACGGCCGCCTGACCGTGTCTTTTCTCATAGTGCTCTAGAAGCCTGGAGGCGCTGGCGGATTCGCAACTAAAGCTGCAATACTTGCACCAGTAATACGCCGCAGGAGCGTCACCTTCAGTGAGGCTAGGAGAGTCTGATGCACGGATTGGTACAGAGTATCCAGCAACGGAGTCGTCTTCGGCCCGTACCGCCACTCGATCGGCCCACTTTCCTTGCTCATCCGTCCCAATCCGCGGTAGGCAGTTCCCCTTCCGCTCGGTCGAGGACTTGTCGTCGAGGTTGGGGTTGAACGGGGGTGGACTCTTCATCTTGTTGGGGTGCGTCGCGAGGAAATGCTGCTCGAGGTCCACAGAGGAGCTTCCCATGTAGGTGAAGTTGCAGAACTTACAGCGGAAGTACTTGGTGTTGCCCTGACAATCTTGCGTCTTCCTCCCAATTCCGATAAAGGTGCCGGCTAACGTTACCTGGGGTGACAAAGAAAGAAAATGAGATAAAGGGAAAGAACAATCATCCGTGAGTTACAGAGGATTACAGAGAAATAGAAGTCTGATATAATAAGACACACAACAGACTTTCAATAACCGAGGCAGCGGTTATCACCACACAAAGGCAAATCACATTTTATGTTCTTATTACTTCTCAGAGCTGAGAATTCGAAAATCCTCCAGCGAGCAGATGGGGAACATGTGAAACCTGTAGACGAGTGGAAGAGTAAAGCACCCATGCATGCAGAGACGAAATGTATCTTTTCTGATTAATAATATCCAGGTGTGACTTTAGTTCTGATACTTTACCAAATTAAATCTCTTAAAGGAGTAGTTCACTTTTAAAAAAAGATTTTGCTGATAATTTACTCACCCCAATGTCATCCAAGATGACCATGTCTTTCTTTCTTCAGTAGAAAAGAAATTAAGGTTTTTGATGAAAACATTCCATTATTTTTCTCCATAAAATGGACTTCAATGGGGTCCAAATGGTTCAAGGTCCAAAAGATAGTTTCAGTGCAAACTGTTCAAAGGGCTTTAAATGATTCCAGGCGATGAATAAGGGTCTTATCAAGCGAAACGATCAATCATTAAAAAAAAAGAATAATAAAAAAGTTTAAGTTTTATAAGCTCAAATGGTCGTCTCAACTCGTTCATCAAAATGAACATATCTTTTCAGAGTCAGTTTGTTCATTTCGTTCGTTGAATGAACCAAATGACACGAAAAAAGATTTCTTCATGTGTTATTTGTTCATTCGTGATGATCACAGAACAGAGCAAGGTGACCATTTGAGCTTATTGAGCTATTCTTTTTTTAAATGAGCGATATTTTCGCTTGATAAGACCCTTATTCATCATCTGGAATCGTTTAAAGCCCTTTGAACAGTTTGCAGTTTGCAATGAAACTGTCTTTTGGACCTTGAACCGTTTGGTTCCCATTGAAGTCCATTATATGGAGAAAAATCCTTTTTCATCAAAAATCTTAATTTCTTTTCGACTGAAGAAAGATAGACATGGACATCTTGGATGACATGGGGGTGAGTAAATTATCAGCCAATTTCTTTTTTTTTTTTAAAGTAAACTACTCCTTTAAATCAGTATAATTGCATGCATATTTAATTTAAAAAAGACATGCAGATCAACGGCTTAAGAAGATGCAATAAAATTCCAGCCAATAGGCATGCATATGGAATATATAGCTGGCAGTCACAGTCAGAAGAGAGTATGAGTGGGAGGTCTTGAGCTTTATACGCACTGTGGGGAATTCAACGTCATGCTCCAGACAAAACACTCAAGGAATGTCACAGCGCAGACAGACCCTTTCCCCTGAGCAGCCCCTGAGCTGTATGTTCAAGCAATGATTAAATAAACACCCACTGCAAAGTGTAATGTGTGCTTGACTGTAATTCTACACATGCATATTACAGATACAAAGTGGACCAATTTAAAGTCTCAGCTGGTTGCTCTGTCTGTATCACCTGTCTGAGCGACTGAATTTAAAACTTTTGTCTGCTAAAATGAGTAAAAGTAAACGTAAGCAGACTGCATTTGTGACACAGACAATGGAATATTTAAAATATACAAAAAGATATTTTTTACATTATGGGGGGGGGGGGGGGCTAGAAAATATCCTGCATAACAACAAAAGATCTATAAAAAATAAATAAATGTGATACACAACGTAAATACAATTATTAGTGGAGCTGTGCATTGTGGGACATGTAGTCTTTTCATATATAGGCACCCCTTGGTTATTTTATGTCTTTTCTCGGTCAAGAGGGCACCAAATAAAAAAATTCTGACTACATATATGATCCACTTTCAATAAAAATTAATGTTGCAATGGGTGAAATGTTCCTTTAATTGTTCAAAAAATGCATATTTTTGTCCAAAATGCACACTGTAGTTTTGCGACTTAATTTTAGTTGAGTTATTTTATAATATTAAATCAATAAAAATTAAATATAAACATTAAATATATGTGTATAATAAAATAAAATAAAATATAAAGAGTATATTTTGAATATTATTATTATTACTCCACTCCAAAAAAATGCTGGGTTGTTTCAACTCAAATTTGGGTCAAATATGGACAAACCCAAATGTTAAAAAAATGTACAGTTGAAAGTTTTAAATTACATTTATAACCCAACATTTGGCTTTGTCCATATCTGACCCAAATTTTGGGTTAAAACAACCCAGCATTATTTAGAGTGTAAACTATTTCATTCATCAATGAGTTAGCAATAATTAACATCATTACATCTAGTTGGTAAACTGGGAAAAATCCACCCAGCATACACCCGACTTAAGCTAAACGCATCCAAAACTTGGCTCTTTCCGCAGAAACTGGACTTAAATATGCCGCTTAAATTGTAAACATGACATTGTTGAAGTGAAGAGTGAAACCGTGCTGAAAGTTGGGCAGATAAATGACTATGACATCTGTTCATTACCCATCGTTTAAAATAAATCGACTGCTGTGTTTTCACTGGCTCCCCACACCAGCTTCCCTACGCTCTTTTCCCCCCCTTTTTTTTTCATTGGGAAAATGAGAAATCGCAGTCGTCGATATTACTGCATGGAAAATTCCACAAGGAACGAATTCTGAATAGACTCATTATTCAAACTTTTTCCCTAAGAATTTATACGGTATTACGACAATTTGTAGACAGGCTGATGTTGAATTGAAAAAGATGGTGGCCGGTGTTATTAGAAGAGAAAAAACCTCAGGTACTCTAAGCTGCGCTGTGTGCTTGCTTGATTGAGTGCATGCACATGTGCAAAGCAGGCAACTGTTCATAATGCTCCATTTAAACATGATACAGTGAGACTGGTGCCACGATAAATCAGCCAAAAGTCACAGAACAAAGCCAAACACAGTGTGCCAGCATGATCCACACTAATCTCCTTCACATTTTTTGTTTGTTTGTTTTTATAAATCCTAAATCACCAAGGTGATATGACAAATGACGCTTGTATTTCAATTTCAATGGAGCTGCTCGATTGCTTATTCATTATTTTAAGACACATGCAGACTGAATTAATTCAGCCCATGTTTATCAGTGTGTGAGTTTCTGCGTGTGCATGACTTTGCATGCATCATATACGGTTACCATGCATCTAGTGGTTTTACTCTGTTGCACTGTGTACGTTTCACTGTTGCATGTGCATGCATCATTTTTAAGCCTTAATGACCCATGGGGCTGTGCTCCAGAACATAAGGAGGCGCCTTGCTTTCTACTTAGGCAGCTGTCGTACGACACTGAAATGGGCTCTACATATACGCAAACTCTGAATCAACACGCATAATCATTCGTTAACAAACAAGTATTCATTACTTCAATAAGCTCATTGTTTCTGTCTTTAATTATTACATATTTAGCTAACTGTTAAATTGTTTATGTACATTTCTGAAATGCATAACTTAGTTATCTCTGATAACAGATCACTTTAAATAGTAATGTGTGGACTGTTTTCTGTAAAGTTGCTTTGAATTGTGAATTGAATTGAATAGAATAAGCAGGGGCAGACGGGAGACTTGATTTGATTTCAATACAGGCGACGACAGGAATGACGCAAAACTCCAAAATGCATAAAATATACATAGACATATGCTCTACCTTTAGTATTGTTAAAGGAGTAGTTCACTTTTAACAAAAAACTTTTGCTGATAATTTACTCACCCCCATGTCATCCAAGATGTCCACGTCTTTCTTTAATCAGTCGAAAAGTAATTAAAGGATGATGAATAAGGGTCTTATCTAGGACCCTTCGAGTCATGACTTGAAAAAAGATTTGATGAACGAGTTCGAACAGGAGAGTCATGATCATCACAGAACAGAGCAAGGCGAGCATTTGTGCTTATAAAACTTAAACTTTTTTCAAAAAAAATTTAATGACCGTTCGTTTCACTTGATAAAACCCTTATTCATGTCCTGGTGTCGTTTAAAGCCGTTTGAAGCTGCACTGAAACTCTCATTTGGACCTTGAACCGTTTGGACCCCATTGAAGTCCATTATATGGAGAAAAATCCTGGAATGTTTTCATCAAAAACCTTCATTTCTTTTCGACTGAAAAAAGAAAGACATGGACATCTTGGATGACATGTGGGTGAGTAAATTATCAGCAAGTTTTTTTTGTTTTTTTTTTAAAGTGAACTACTCCTTTAAAGTGCTGAATTAAATAGTGTCAATTCATCCCTTAGAGATTACCTGCACGTCGTAGGTGCCGTTGAGTACGGAGGACCTGGGCGACCCTGCTTCTGCCACGGATCCGCACTGAGCCGATTGGCCGAGGAGGCGCGCTGAGTCTTTGGCCTGTGACTGGGCTGTAAACTGCACCATGTTGTGTAGTGCCAAAATCTTATTGTCCAGCTCTGCGTCTTGCCGCGTCCGGTTGTGCAGGCCCAAATGGTACTTACGAAAGTGCTTGATCAGGTCCGTGGGGTCATTGCCGTAGTAGCCGTACCCACAAATGTTGCACTTAAAGTCTTGTAGTTTGGGCGAGGTGGGTGGAGGTGCTCCTGTCTCCGCTCCCAGAGGACTAGGGGCGTCTTCCGCTCCCCCGATCGGCCTCAGTGGATGAAGAGTGACAGGAGGGACTTTAACTTCGACTGCAGCACCACGAGGGCTGGCGGAGCCCTGGAAAACGAGTGGGCTGTGTGTGTCCTCTCCGTTACTGACGATGACGCCGCCCGACCGCGTGTTTGGCCTCAGATCGATACGCTCGTCCTCGCCGTCCACTCTCTCACCCGGGTCAGAGGTTGTTGGAGAGTTGGCGGAGTCCAGCAGTTCGCTATCAGTGCCCTCGCGGCTGGAGTAGGACGTTGCCAGGTTGTGGCTGGAGTAATGCAAGTCAGGTCTGTCTGGTTTGATGGGGCCAGGAGAGGACGGCTCCTCCTGCTCTTCGGGCTCTGAGGCCTGGCTCCCCGTGTTCCCGCTCTCTGGGCCCGTGGCCTCGGCCGCCACCGTCTCGCCTTCCTCTTCTTCACTGCCGAAGCTTCTCAAAGGGGGATTCTTTTTCCGCACCATATCTGGAAACCAGCCAAAGAGAAGACCAACGTTAATAACTAGACGCAATGTGATACGATTCCAGCAACAAGATATTTGTCTGTCCACACCAGGCTACAACTACGACCACAAGACGAAAGCAATCACAGTCAGAAGGGAACTGGGCGTGAGTCTATCTGTACATAAAAAAATGCATAAATATTACCAGGGCTTGACGTTAACTTTTGTGGCTAGTGGTTTTCCAAAGGTACTAACGAGTCTGTTTTTCAATGGCCACAACTTTAACATCGATACCATGGGGAAAAACTGCCATACATATCATATAGGCTGCTGTCACTTTAAGACCTGACGCATGGATCTATTGTACTGTTACGCATGCGTTAACATTCACTTAAAGGAGTAGTTCACTTTTTAAAAAAAATAAAAAAAGTTTAAGTTTTATAAGCTCAAATGGTCGCCTTGCTCTGTTCTGTGATGCACGTTCGTGACTCTCCAATTTGAACTCGTTCATCAAAATGAACAAACCTTTTTCCTAATCAACTTGTTCATTTCATTCGTTCAATGAATCAAATGACACGAAAAAAGATTTGTTCATTGATAAACGAGTTCAAACAGGAGAGTCACGAACTGAAATCGTATCCATCGTCTGAAATCGTTTACAGCCCTTTGAACAGTTTGCACTGAAACTGTCTTTTGGACCTTAAACCGTTTGGTTCCCAGTAAAGTCCATTATATGGAGAAAAATCCTGGAATGTTTGAATTAAAAACCTTAATTTCTTTTTGACTGAAGAAAGAATGACATGAATATCTTGACATCTATGACATGGGGGTGAGTAAATTATCAGCAAAAGTTTTTTTTTAAACTGAACTACTCCTTTAAGACCAGCTTTTAGTCATTATTTTGTGTATTTGACTGTTTAAGCACAATATACCAATTTAGTACAAGGAGGCTTTATGCACGCACAAAATCTGTATGCTCAATAAGTGCAATCCCACTCTGAAATTCAAGCCCTGTAACAGCAAAACTACTCATGCAATACTCCGAAAGTCCTTGTTTCCTTGTGAATTATCCTCTGTCGCTTTCAATACAGCTATAAAAGGTACTCAAACTCACATTCAATTCTTTTAACATGAAATAAAGCTCATAATCAGTACCTGAGATTATCATCGTCATACTTTGTCGTTCCAACCTCGGCGTCGGAGAAACAGAAACCATTTCTAAAACGAATCATTACGTATCGCCATCATGGCTGGTTAGGACAAAAACTCTGATTAACATGGAAAAGATGTCGCGGCGTCACGTCTGGTTAGGACACAGCGTTACTCAAGTAACACACTCAATGTGTGGTTCTTTTTGCTTGCGTGCTAAATACAACTTTGGAGCCAATGCACCAATTCTGCTCTCTGTAAAAGCTTTTTGATTGTTCTTTGATTTTCAAAAATCGGAGACAAAATGTCCTAGAAATGGTTCTCCTCTTCCAGCACAATCCATAAACAGCAAATGAGGCTCTAATATATCAGTGACTATGTCGGTGCCGGCCTTTGCTGATGATATTTTAATGAATAAAATCTGTGCACTTATGTCACTGATGTGGCTTAGGGACACACATTTTAATCAGTTACCAAAATCAAAGATGATAGGGAGAGAGAGAAAAAAGAGGAATTTATAAAGTGATTCATAGCAAAAAATTTCCATCAGAACTCAATGAGGTCATGCGTGTTTGTTCATAGCAGGCAAATTGCACTATTAACTAGACTTTCCTTTGGCACAAACTGCACAAAAGTGGATTTCTGTGAAAGGTTTAGCATAAGGCAACATAATTTTGCATTTGCGAGATGGTGTGCGTGTTGGCCACTTTCAATTTAGGGCAATTACAGTTTCTCATGATTTAACAAAACAGGGGCCTGTCTTATTTCGACAGACCGTCGAGAGCAATTTCCTCATTTAGCCGGTGATGCAAATGGATATTAAATAAAGCAATTCATGCTTTACAGAGGGGCCACACCTTAACAACAGCTAAGTTAATAAAAGTCTTGAGAAAATCTAATCACAAATATAACCACACCCTGTCAAATCACTCACAGCATCTCCTTCTCTGTGATTTTCGGGCTTTACAGCATCTAAACACACTACAGCCTCTGTGCTACCCGTTCAAAACTACACACCTGTCTGTGTCATATTACTACCGCTGAAAAGAGATCGCATTTGAAGAAGATATTTATTCAAATATCGCGAGCAAGACTGATGGTAGCACAGATGTAACTAATGGCTGATTGAAAGCATTCTTAAACTGTCATGAAACATCCAAATCGTTATTGTATCATATCAAGAAACGCAATCAAAGACATACCACTACATGCAAGGACGCAGCATGATCTGACACGTGTTGATGAGGATGACAAATAAACTAAATTGTAATTACTACTAATTAGTAATTACCGCTCCACACAGCAAGATTACTCATTTGTTCGTTTTGTACACTAGTCTGTATGCCTTGCAAACCGGTCCCAACATCATGGAAAACCTAGAAATATATATATATATTAAAGGCCAGTAAAAGTCAAAAGCATACATGGAATAAATAAATCTGAATAGTTTGATTTTAGTATGTTTTTAGCATTTGAGCAGACCACCACACAAACAAATTAAAAAATAAATACATTATATATATAACTAATGTAATTATTAATTTATTTATTTTTTTCATTTTTTTATTTATCATGTTGGGTTAAAATGTACAGTTGAAAGTTGGGTTAAAATTTTAAATGTCATTTTTAACCCAAAATGTATATATATATATATATATATATATATATATATACACAAAATGATTTAAAAAATTACATTTAAAATTTTAACCCAACTTTCAACCCAAAATGTATAATATATACATATAATATAAACTACACGCACTTTATATATATATACACAAAATGTATATATATTATACATTTTGGGTTAAAAATAACATTTAAAATTTTAACCCAACTTTAAACTGTACATTTTTAACCCAATATTTGAATTTGTCCATATTTGACCAAAAGTTGAGTTGAAACAACCCAGCATTTTTTAGTGTATATATATATATATATATATATATATATATATATATATATATATATAGTATATTACATTATTGTAATCACTGCATAAATGAGATACATTTCCATATTTTACATTATTTATTATGTGATTTGGAGCAATTATTGGATTTCATTTTTGCCTAAGAATCTCTAACAAGACTAGAAAAAATATTTTAAAGAAGTACTCGCGACAAGTGTTTTTGTTTGGATTGACGTTAGCTTTTTCTGTTTTCTGTACAAGTGCTAAAATATGTGACAGAACCAGAATCATTAAGGCGAATGAGAACCACAATCATAAAACCTTGATTCCCAAGCCTCGTGAATATACATGTTTTTAGTTATGCTGCGACCCACAAGCCATTATTATCATAACTGAGCATTTGTGAGCAAAATCTTATTTTAAGGGGATTTTCAATAAATCAGTCAAATCAGTTTAAATCTAAGCGATGTGATCCCTGCTTCTGTTTAATAAACTGTGGATTAAGTTAACTTAATTTTAAATTTGTATAACATATTAAGCTACTATTGGAGAGAGCCATTGATTTACAGAACTAGACTCACTTTCTCATTTTCCTTTCTGAGAATAAAGGTATCAGGATCCAATACTACGACGCATCTTAACCAACATAGAATGGGAAAAAGGAATGGAGTGGGAGGACGAGAAAAGTTTTTAATACCTGATGGTGCATAATTACATTAAAACTTGCAGGGAAAGCAGTGAGACATTCCAGGCCGCCATCAGAAACCGAATAATCTGCTTTATAGATCCAGGCGTTTGCTGCGTTCCTGTACCAGTCGATTCAAATCTCTACTTCACTATTATCCAGCCGCAACTCCTCCTTTCCTTTCCAAATTAAACGCCTCTTCTGTTATTGTGCCTACTCAAGAACTTACTTAATCAAGTAGAATATGTTTTATTAAAAGGACAGAACAATCTTAATTAAAAAAAGCAACACTCTAAAAAATGCTGGGTTGGTTTAACCCAATTTTGGGTCAAATATGGACAAACCCAGCCGTTGGGTTACAATTTTTAATTGTATTTTTAATCCAACGTTTGGGTTTGTCCATATTTGACCCAAAATTGAGTTAAAACAACCCAGCATTTTTTTTAGAGTGAAGGGGGGTGAAAGGTTACACTATAAAAAAAATATTCAGTTGTTTTAACCAAAATTTGGGTCAAATATGGACAAACCCAGCCATTGGGTTACAATTTTTAATTGCATTTTTAACCCAACGTTTGGGTTTGTCCATATTTGACCCAAAATTGAGTTAAAACAACACAGCATTTTTTAGAGTGAAGGGGGGTGAAAGGTTACACTCTAAAAAATATTGGGTTGTTTTAACCAAAATTTGGGTCTAATATGTACAAGCCGAGTCATTAGGTTATATCTTTAAATTGCATTTTTAATCCAATGTTTGGGTTTGTCCATATTTGACCCAAAATTGAGTTAAAACAACCCAGTATTTTTTAGAGTGAAGGGGGGTGAAAGGTTACACTATAAAAAAAATATTGGGTTGTTTTATCCAAAATTTGGGTCAAATATGGACAAACCCAGCCATTGGGTTACAATTTTTCTAAATCCAACGTTTGCGTTTGTCCATATTTGACCCAAAATTGAGTTAAAACAACTCAGCATTTTTTAGAGTGAAGGGGGGTTAAAGGTTACCCTCTAAAAAATGCTGGGTTGTTTTAACCCAATTTTAGGTCAAATATGGAGAAATTTTTGGTCAAACATTTTATAAAAAAAATAATAACCCAACACCTAGGTTTGTCCACATTTGACCCAAAGTTGGGTTAAAACAACCCAGCCTTTTTTAGAGTGAAGGGGGTGAAAGGTTACGCTCTAAAAAAATGCTGGGTTGTTTTAACCCAATTTTAGGCCAAATATGGAGAAATCATAGGTCAAATATTTTATATAAAAAAATAATAAATAACCCA